ATCTATTCATGTTTTATTAAGTATGAATAAACAGCGAATAACGACCTTATGCATGTCCTTAGTCACCAGGAGTAAATTGTTAGTGAATGTGTTATTAAGTATGATTCATGCTTAATTAATGCTTTTCTCATCATTAATTAAGTACTTATTCATGGTTAACTAAGGATGAATAAGGTGTAGTTATTATAAAGTGTTACCCAAACAGCAGAGTCAGAAAAACGTTCACGGTGCCTCTGAGTTCTCATCCAGAGTCAGAGATTTCAAGACAGCAGCGATAGCAGCAGCTGATCGAGGCTGCTCCTGGAACAGAGCGTCTTACGTGTCATGACGGTTGTCTGTGGCTGTGAGACCTGGCTCTGGATGGCTCTCAGGATGAAACTGTGACTCTCCGACATGGCTCTTGGGGAGCTCTCTGCTGAAGCAGCTGTTAAAATGCTTCATCCAGCTGAACCACTTCCTGTGTTGGGTCTCCTGTAGAATTAACTCCCCCTGAGCTGGATGACTGCCTGCTCAGCTGTTTCCTCTCTGACCCCCTCAGGGCGACTCCGGCGGGCCCCTGTCCGTCACCAGTCCCAATGGGCGGGTCTTCCTGGCTGGCGTGGTGAGCTGGGGTGATGGCTGTGGTCGCAGGAACAAACCTGGCGTCTACGTGCGAATCACCAAATACCGCAGCTGGATAAAGGAGCAGAGCGGAGTGTAGCTGCAGACCAGTGGACTGTAAAGTGTAAAGACAATTTAAAATGGTTACGAGCAGCAGCCAGGTGGGAATAATGATGTATTTAGATAACAGATCTAAAAGATGCTGTCGCCTCAGGTGCAGCCAGGACGAGAAACGGTTTTCTGAAAATTGGGTAAACACAGAGAATCTTGGTATAAATGTAAACTAGAGAACCCAGTGTTTGGTCCTGTCGGGAGGCAGGTGTGTTCAGGTGGGCTTTATGAATTACTTTGAGGAGTAAATGTCTTTATTTTGTAATGAAGCGCTTCATGTTGCACTTGAAGCTCAACTGTCTTGTGAGTAATGATAAAATATTCTCAGGGTGAGAAAGGAACCGTCTGATTTTACACCTGGTCAAACTAAATGTCTTTATTACAGTCATGTCTTTGTTTGAACAGGGTCCATGTGTGTTTTGGTCTGAGCTGATATCACAGACCCAGTTTGTCCATAGTCGCCCTTTCAGCAGTGGAGCTGATTAAAGACGACACCAACTCTGTCACACACTCTGAAAAGAAAAGGTTGAGTTCAGGGCCTCATTCTCCAAACAGGGTTCAACTCTGATTTGAAGTCGATTCATTCCAAGTTACACATGTAACCAATTCAGACGTATCTGAATTGATTGAAACTGTTTACGCTTACACTTTCATAATGTTATACATATATTTTAGTGGTAAATGACACATTTGTAATTAAGTATTAAATAATATTGAAACTGAAACATGTCTTAACCAAAACTAAATTAGGGTGTTTTTTATTTTTTTAAGTATTTTATAAAAAAAATTATTTACTCGTCAAAATTATAATTGTACCAGTAGATTTGGGTAATTTATCACATTTGTTTTTCATCTGAAATAATTGTATTGCATTTCTTTGTTGGTGCTTATTATACACCTGTATTATAGGAAAATCAACGGGTCATGGTGCCGTTGTCGTCAAACACTTTTACAGGTTTTGAGGCCTTGAGTTGTGGATGAACTGACAAATCCACAGTTCAGTTAAATAAACAACGGTTAAATCAAGCCAATGCTGTTATACATGTACATGTATGTGGTCAGACATGGTTTTTCAGATGTACCTGGATGAACAGAGAACCTCCAAGTACCTCTCCAGTATCCGGAATAACTATAAAGTTTAATCAAACCTGCATGGAGGTGTTCCTCAGAGAACTGTTCTGGGACCTCAAAGGATTCACAGGATGCTACCTAAACACCATGTTTCATCAGAGTTTTTACCAGTTTTTACCAAGACATGCAGCTCACGTTGACTGGAGACTCTAAACTGCCCGTAGGAGTGAGTGTGGGTGTTTGTCTACATCTCAGCCCTGTGACAGACTGATGACCTGTCCAGGGTGGACTCCACCTCTCGCTCAGTGTCAGATGGAATCGGCTCCGGCCAAGCTATAAGCGATTATAGATGACGGATGGATGTTTTGGTCTGTGCCTCCATTCATACTGTAAAATGATTAGAAAATATAGGGAAAGTCACAGCTTTAAATTTCAAGGTAAATGGACCTAGTTTATCCGCAGTCAGAGATTAGTTTTTGGATTTGAGGACAGTAACATTAGTCTTTTGTGTTAGCAAACATGACCTACCAGATTAGGTTGAGCGTTGTGTTGTCCAACCATGTTGAAGGGTCTGGACTGTCGCAGATCACAGTCAGTACAAAACAGTTTTTCCTTCACTGTTTACATATGATCTGATACGCTCTCGGTGTTCACAGGTGGAAATGAGCCACAGTTCACGTGATCTGTACAAAGAGCCACAAAATAAGACCTGATGCTCTTTGTGTTGCACGTATCTGCGGCCGTGCACAGCAGCTCTGTCACTGTTGAGCTTACAGTTAACGCTGCAAATGTCCTGAAGTGCATCCATGTATTTGTCCTGCAACAAGAAGCCTGAATGTGAGGAAAGAGAGCTGATCATCTGCTGAGCAAACAGCTCAGTGAACTGCAGTGAAAAATAAATGCTGGTAACTTTAAACTCCTCACGCACTTGGAATGTTTCTGTAAATATAAAGAGGCTGCAGGCAGGATGTGAAGGAAACACAAAGGTGAAGCTGTGACAAACAGGATGTTACAGATTGTGTTGTGGTGCTAAGCGCAGAGCGGCACTGCGCTTCTATGCATCTGTCTTCACTGTGTGCATCTTATAAAATGTTGCTACAGCTTTGACAGCTGCTTTTCTCAGATGTTAATCTTGTGGCAGTGCCAGTCTGCAACGAGACATCACCCACAAAAACTGTTTTCATGTGTTTTTGCTCCTTCCTCCATCACGAAGGAACCATTTAAAAATACATAAAACACCAAAGATTTTTAGTGGTGCACTTTTCTTCACTCTGGTTCTTGACTAAATAAAGATGAACAATACTGTAGGAGGCACAAATCCTAGTATCACCCAGTGTTTCTCTGCCTGTTCTGAACACTCGCACTGGCAGAACAAGTGAGACGCTCTCTCTCATGGATCAGTTTCTCTTCTCAGAGACATTTCATTGGTGTTCAAGTGGTTGTTCACGCTTCAGATGCAGCAGATGATTCAACAAGCACCGAGACTTTAGGTGAATCCCTTTTCACTTATTTTATCAATCCTCACTCAACCCATAAGTTGTTCCGGTCCACCATGATGAGGGACGTCCCAGAGCTCTTATTTCTGCTTTGAAGAGCATGGCAGCTGCTCGAGTAGCTGTAACCGAGGATACATGAGTGTGTCCTTCAGAAGCCTGTTGGAAATCAATTGGTGATTGGAGGCTTCACATAGGGATCGAAGGAAATGACGTCTAATGTCAAACTGTGTTTCCTTGTTCCTCTCTCCTCAGAGTTTCCCCCTTGTGTCTTTTCCTTGCATCTTCCATGGAGACAGGACTAAGACACAAGGAAAAGATGCAAGTAAGGAAAGGTGGATGCACTTTGAGGAACTGGGATTCACCTTTAACTTTGACAGCCTTTGGTAAATGAGACAGGAAGGGCTTCAGCTAATGGAGAAACAGCATTAGAAGGCTCCAAAGCCAAACACGAAACCAGAACAGCTTCCAACATTTGTTAAGGAAGCAGGAAAGAGAGCTCTAGAAATGTGTGACCTCATGTTGCTAACGAGCAGCAACAAAGAAGAAGCAGCAGTCAGTGATTATGTAGCTGACTGATGTAAAAGACTTTGTGTTGAGATTCGATGGACTCCTAAAAGCCTCTCGGGGTTCAGGGTGAGC